GAGAGGGCAGGGGCCTCTTGGTGTAGGGAGGAGAGAGAAACTGAGGGGCTGGGCTTGGCTCCCAGAAGGGCAAGGGGGCTGGGTTCCCAGGATGAAGGCTGGGGTGGGAGAGCCCGAGAGGGCGGAGGGAACTAGGGCAGGCACTGCAGCCCAGGAGAGGTGGGGGCTGGGGTCCAGGGTTGAGGGCTGGGGGAGGGGAAGAAGGGGGAGGGGAGCGGAGGCCATCTCTGCTGACAAACACCTCCCCCGATTAGCAGAGCACAAGTCTCTTATTAAAGCGGGTCCCTGGGGATTAGACTATAAAAGTCTCTTTTTCCTTTTCCCCTCTCTCCCTCCCCTTCCCTCTGCTCCCCCTCCCTCTCTTAAGAGCTCAGCTTAGCTCTTAAAGGGGACGCACAATACCTGGCTGGAGACCCAGTTCCCTAGTTATCCAAGTCCTGGGGTGGCAAGAGGGTAGAAGTTGGGGTGGAACCCCATCTACTGGTGTCCTTCCCTGTCCTGTCCACCCCCTACGTCTAACCTGCACTTCCCAAACTGTGCGTGTGTGGTGTCTGTTCCTTCCTGCATCTGCATTACCAGGGCTAACTCTGGGCTCAGGCCTATTGGTTAAGAGATGCTAGGGACAGAATGAGGCAGGGGGAAGCCCACGGCTCCATCACTCATTCTGGAAAGCCTCTCTCACACACTCCACCACATAGACCAAAGTATCGTTTCTTTCTGTATCCTTCATCTTCTTCTAGCAAACTCTTCTTCAGAATTCCTCTACCACTGTTTCTAACTCTGTTATAATTCCCCACCCCCAACCCTGTCCTCTGTCAGTCTCAGACTGACCCCAGCTTCTATAAAGCAGAAGCCTTAAGAACAGAAGGGAGACTGAGGAACCCAAGACCAGATCCCAGGCCTTCCCACCCCCAACCCCAGGTTAGTTTACTAGTCCTTTGAGTATTCTTTTCTTTACAGCCCTGACCAAGCACTGTGGAGTTAGCTTTGCAGAAAAACTGGTGGCAGTGTGAGGCACTCAGCCTCCCAGATGCACACCTGGGTTCCAGTGCCTCTCCCTTGGGGGTGGGCCACTAGGACTCCCCTAGGCCCCCAGCTTTTTATGACCCATCTGCCAATAAACCAGTCTCCCCCTCTTCTGTTCAGAGCCATAAAACCAAACAGTGGGGGGGGGCGGCGACTTTGCCAAACCACTAGGGAATAAGAGGGCCTGGTTCCCTGGAGTTGTTGGGGGTTGGGGGAGACCTCAGTGGGGGAGGGGAAAAGGGAGTCATCTGACCTTAGGGAGAGCTGGGGGGTTTGGGTGTATGTGCTGGGGAGTGTTGGCCTGGATTTTCCAGGCCATAAAATTTCAAAGCAGCTCAAGTCTATTAACATGTTCATCTTCCGTTTGGCCAGGAGCTAGGATGCCTGGGTTTCCTCTCCCTCCCATGTACCTCTTTCTTTTTCTCCCTAAGTGTTCCTCTCTCTCCTCAAGCCTGGTTGCGGGTAGGGGCGGGTGAATATGGGATACAACACTAAGGTTTGAACAGTTAAACGGGTACCCTTAGCCCCAGCGCAATGGAGTTGAGTTCTTTGAGCTCGGTCAGTAAGAGAAGGCACAGCTTTTCCAGCCCCTTGAGAGACCCGATGTCAAAAGGGCTCCAGCTAAAATGGGCAGCTGGGCTGCCGGGAGAGATACAGGGCTCCGGGATCTCGTCCCCTGGGAGAGGGAGAGGGGCACTTGATTTTCTGCAGCCCCGGGGGCGCGTTGCGAAGCCCAAGGTGGAAGGAGTGGAGAGTTGGTGCCAGGGCCATTGGGAAGCGGAGAGCACTGCAACCTGGCTAGAACTGCGGGGGTCCCGAAGCCTCCCGATTCTGTTCTCCAGCCTCTCCACCACGGCCCTTCAGGACTGAGTTGCTGCCCCTTCCCCTCCGCTGCAGGCGGACCCTTGCTTCCCCAGAATCCCCGCAACACCGGTCTTTTCTGCACACCCAGGGTGGGAGTCGGTATCTCGCAATCCTTTCCGTTTGCCCCCTCACCTCCGAGGACGGGGCGTGCACACAACTCTGCAGCCCATCTCCACAGCTCGAAAAACTTCTTCGGAACAGCCCCCGCCCCCCAATTCATCAAGTTTTCGCCGAAAAGGCTTTCCGGCCGGAGCAGCCAGGAGCGCCCCGCATCAAAGCGGGAGGCGCTCACTTTCCCCGAGCGGGAGCTGGAGCCCGCACCCCACTGCTCACGTCCCACCAACCACTTACTCTCTTGGGCCATGCTAATGACAGTCTCAGTGGTGGCGTGGTACTCGTCCTCCTCCAAGAAGTCCTCGGGCTGCAGCGCGTCGCCCTGGAAGTCGTGCAGGTCCAGGATCTGCTGCAGCGGCGGCGCCTTGGGCAGCAGCTGCTTCACCACCTCGCGGCTGATGTTGGGCGCCTCCTTGAGCCGCAGTTTGCTCAAGATCTGCGACTTGATGCTCTCCAGGCGCAGCTCGCGGCTATGCTGCCGCCAGACGCACACGGGGCAGCCGTCGGGCTCGGGCGCCACGGACGGGGCCGGCCGGC